ACTTACACCAGCTCATTTTCTCACGGGTGCATCTCTCACCACATTGCCTGAGCCATCCATCTCAGATTCAACAATCACACCAAGAGCCCGGTGGCGGCTCATTCAACAGCGGACGCAGCAGTTCTGGACACACTGGTCAACCCACTATTTGCAGAGACAGCAAGCTATTTCAAAGTGGCACCATCCATCCAACACCATCAAGGAAGGATCTTTGGTACTGCTCTCAGACGAGAGGATGCCACCTTGCAAGTGGCCGCTGGCAAGAATCATCAAGGTGCATCCTGGCAGCGATGGACTCACCCGGGTTGCAACCATCCGAACAGCCTCCGCTACTCTCATCAGGCCAGTTGCCAAGCTGGTTGTTTTACATGTTTCAGATTAATCATCAACACGTTGCTGATGGCGGGCGGAATGTTTGAGAAATAATCTCAAAACCTCAAGGCGCTCTCGCATCGAGCACAGGATCATGCGATCGATGCCCGAATCGATGAGCCAATCATTAAGGACCGCGTACGTGCGCAGGAGACGCATAAATCACCTCCTGCGCAGGAAGAAGCCAGGCCCTGAATTCACGGCTAACGGTCCTCACTGTTCTGTTCGTTTCGGAGCCATCAGCACCATACTCACGTTTCTCTCAAAGCAATCGCAGTTATTTCTCTAATCTCACACTCTGTGAAATTAATATAATCTCACGGGCCGCAACTTTTAGTTCGGATTGAGTAACTCGAACTCAACGAATCATTAAACTCTCGAGTTTAATATAAACTACGAAAGTGTGGACATTCATAATCAGTGCGAACCGTAGTTCGTGAATTCAGTGCTAACTCCTAGCTCAGTGTTTGAAGCAAGCTAAATCATTGTATGACAGTTTTGTAAGGCGAGAACCCTTTTTTATATTAAAACGCGCTTTAAACATCCAACGTCTCCCTTTGAATCGCAGACAACACCGTAATCCGGAACCATCGCGCAAATCCATTGCCTCTCAAACTCATTCCCAACTCATTCCCAAACACATATAAATCCTGATCTATCAAAGATCGTTCATCACCTCGAAAGGCCAAGACTTCGCTCTTGATCCGTAACGGACCGATTTGCATATCCTTTGATATACGAGTGATACTCTCGTAGTACCTGGGTTTCGGGAGGTACCCCCGGTCGCTTCTTTTCGTCGCGACACAATGGCATAAAGCACTTCTTGGCCAATGGCTCTTTTCCTTTCTTTTCTTTTTCGTATCCTTTTTAACGAGTGATACCCTCGTTGTGCCTTTTTATAAAAAATACGAGTGGCACACTCGCTGTATCAGTTAACGAGCGATACACTCGTGAATTCAAGCGAATTCAAATAAATTGCAAAGTTGCAATCTGAAGAAATCCTCCTATGCCCACTAACAACTTCCCATAAAACTTGTGTCAAGTTTTATCAAGGACAGAGTAACAAAAACCGTCAAGACCGCCTCGAATTTACCAACAATATTACCCCTTTACAAACAAAATCACCTATTCCAGGTCCACTTTCCATACAATCTATCTACCAGATATCGCGTAATTAAAGACTTTAGCACTTTGAAGTTCGCGCATCATTTATCATTCACGTACACCAGCGTCAATGTAGAGTTGTCAGACAAAACGCAGACTTATATACCACCTTCCGATTCGCACTAGCAACCACACTTCCCACAAAATCTTTCCAAAAACAATAAATTTAAATCTTCGTCCGATTCACTATCACTCCTTACTCTAAAACACTTTCAAATATAGACATCGACAACAGTAAGATTACTGACAATAAGAGCAATTCAATCAACAAATCCATCCCACTTAATCCCCGCGTTCTCCCACAATCAACTAATTAATTCCCGCCTTCACTCTCAAATACTACAAGGTCATTACCACATCCTCGATGCAGGACTAACCTCAAAGTTACGAAACAAAACACTTAACCATGTAATTATAACCAATAATGACAATCTCATCAATGTAAACCCCACGTCACCGTCACGCAACTCCTATGGTCCTTCAAACAAAACCTATTACAAGGAATCCGCAAATCCCGGAACTCCTGAACACTCCCCAAGGACCTTTCATTCAAATGGTGTCCTCTTTCTCCAATATTTCTCTCTCACAAGCAGAAATTGACCCTTAATGATCTGATATTGAACAATGGCGTCGTTCGACGCTCCCACGTGCACCTCTAACAGATTATCAATATTTTCCGAAATTCCGGCCAAATTCCGCCGGAATTTTTCACTCTTCACCCTTACTATCACTTTCACAGACGTTTCGAGCCAAATTCGCGAATCGCGCACTCGAATTTCCGCAAAGAACTTGGTTTCAATCAGGAGCGACTCACGACACGTCCGACCCAGTCGCCGCCATCTTGGACTCCTCTAAGTTAGGTTAGGTTAGGTTCCACGGACCTGCCTGGCGTTTGTCAGGTGGGCGGGGAGGTGATACCCCGACGTGGCGCTTCCCCGGGTGGCGGACAGGGGAATGCTCGCTGCACCGGTGGGTGGGTCTTCGGACCTAATCATCGGTGCAGAGGATAGGAGGGAAATAAAATACCTCCCGCGGACCAAACACAACGTCGGAGAGATGGATCCACACAGAGCGTTTCTTCAGAAACTTGTATTTTTGAATTGTGATTATATAGTCATTCGAATATGCATAATAATCTACCTAGGATGTATTGATGAATGGAGTCGAATATATAGAACGTATTATACACTTCCAGGCACTTACCTATGTTCTGATGAACAGTAGTTTATCCGGATCATAGTGGGACCTGCAAATAAAAGAACATTAAAATAATACTTACCGCTCAATTGTGGATCTGCTCTCTGACCTTGCACTTTCCTTACCTCTCCTGTCCTCCCTTGCCTTGCCTTGCCTTGCCTATCCTTGTTGTCCTACCCTACCTATCCTTACTTACCTCTATACTAGTCCTACTGTTACCCTTATATTAGTGTTAATTTTTACTTTTTTATATTGGCGTGTATGTGGATGAATGAATGGACCGGTTTCTGCGGTGTCGACGTTGGGAGTACATGGGGGGCGTATGATTGTTCCCATCATATGATCCTACCATGTTGATGTGAGCGTTGCTCTACCGAGACGTCAGATGCTGTATGAAGTCTGTAGCCAGCTACTTCGGGCCCTGGTCGGGAAGTACGCGCTGAACATGGGGGTCGGAGCCCATGTCGCGACGAGCGAGTGTTGGCCCGTCCGTGTTTTCCGGGGTCAACAAAGTGGAGGATAAGCCCCTAGAGTACTGAGGGTGGTCCTTGCCTGAAATAGGGGGACCATGGGTGTACCCAATTATCTGCCTGCCCGCTCCTTCGCGTACGATACGCTGGTATTTCAAACATATGTCTAATTTCCCTAAACAAAATAAAAAAGAAAATGAAAATGAAGAAAGAAAACCAAAAACAAAAAGTAGTTCACAGCCGCACACACGCTCGCGTACGGCACAACCGACAAGCGAACTAACAAGTGCTGAGATGTTTAAAGCCATGCTCGAATCACAATCTTATGAGAGTGTGCACTCCCCAAGGAATTCGTTAGCAAGGACTCCTCCGGGTATAGTACGACCTCAACCAGTCGATAAAACATCCATGCGTGATTCGGATATGGAAATGAATCGTAGCTCGCAGACCTCAGCCAATGAGAGCGAATCAGGTCTAAAACGTAAACGGCAGAATCAGTCAATGATAGAAGTCGAGGATAATAAGGATGACAAAAACGTAAACTCGCCTCCGTCCGGAGACACATCCCTAAAGAAGAAGAAAAAACGCAAAACTAACTCTAGAAAGACGTCAACTTCTGACGAATACTCGGAATTATCCGAAATAGAGGATAATAAGACTAGCAGTGAAGGCCACATTCTTCAAAAAGAACCTACCTCTGCTCTTGCAGTTTCTCTATTAGAATGTGTAAAGGAGATAGAAAAGGTAAGACTGACATCAGGTAATCTGAAGGGATCTTACCAGAAAATACTTAAACTAACAGAGGGTACTATAAAATCAGTATGTACAGAAATGGCGAATAGAATTGTAAATAGTCCAACAAAAGAAATACAAGCTCTAGAGAAAGAAAACTATCAACTTAAAAAACAGATACATGATCTTCAAAAAAGAATTGGAGTAATGGAAAAAGCTAATCCGAAACCGGTTGCTGATGAAAACATTCATACTACTACAACAAACTCACATTTGACGACGAATAAGGTTATATCTGATCAACTTTTCCCCTATATTTCGAAAGAAATAGCGAACTTAGGAAATTCCCTAAAGGAAACTATGCAGAATAAAATAACCAACTTAAAAGAAGAGCTTTTCAATGCAATGATCACATCGAGCAATGCGAAGACCGAGCTATCTCTAGCCAAAGATCGCAGTGCATCAAAGGATTACGTTATACCAATACATCCGACCACATCAAAAGTGGACAATATTAATCGTCCCGCGATTGCTAACAATCCACCGAAGAGATTTCAGACTAAAAACCTAGATAAACCTAATGGGAGTGCTAGAAAAAAGAAACCTGCAAAAGGTCTCTCACTTGTAAATACAGATACAGGCTTTACAACCCCTGTCCCTAATAACATCGTTCCGCCTACTACGGTAAAACGTAAAACACAAAGGACTAGAAACTCGGCTGCGGTCGTAATAAATAAACAAGAGGACTGTACATTAGGCTATGACGAGATAATCAAAGAAGGGAAGTTAAAAATTAATATCAGTGAATTAGGTATAACTGATATACGACCGCGTTATTCAATGACAGGAGGGATGATCCTGGAAATACCAGGTAACGAAGCAGACGACAAAGCTACATCTTTGGCTGAAAAAATGAATACTCTTTTTACTGGAAAAGGAGTCAGAATATCCTGCCCTAGAAAGATGAAAGAGATAATCATTAGTGGCTTAGATGTATCGGTTAACACTGAAGAAATAACTGATGCTATTTCCAGCGTTACCAACAGTAAGGAAGATATTAGGATTGGAAAAATCCATAAAAATAATAGAGGTGCTGCCACCGTATGGGTTAAATGCTCTGAAAAAATAGCAGTCAAACTCATAAACATGGGAAGGATTAGCATTGGCTGGTCAAAGGCCAAAGTAATCGAGACAGAAAAACGCCCGATACAATGTTATCGGTGCTGGGAGTTTGGTCACGTGAGAGATAACTGTAATAATAAAGATAAAACAGACCGATCAACCTGGTGCTACATATGTGGAGCAAGCAATCACTCAATACAAGCGTGCCAAGCTCCTTCACCTGAGTGCTGTCTATGCAAAGAAAGAGGTTTTCCAGCCAACTACCGCATGGGAAACAAATTATGCAAGACAGTAGAAATATACAAAAATAAACAACTAAAAGGAAAAGAAAAGGAAATTCCGGATAGAAGAACTAACATACGGACCCAAAAAGAGTCGCGTGTCGAAAGCGCCACGAAATCACGAAAAACAACTGGGGATCAGCCCTCGGCAAACGAAGTGGTAGTAGGAAGCGGAGATCCTACGGTCGATAAAATCGACACAGAAATTGAGATAGAATAAACCGATTGAAACGATGAAAATTTTACAAATCAATGCAAATCATTCGTATGCTGCACAGGCGTTAATAGAACACTATATGACTGAAAATACTATAGACCTGGCTGTTATACAGGAACCATATAAACCTCAGTCCACATGGCCGATAGACGACTTAAAAACCGTTACTATCCTCCAAAACACAATAACAACTACACCCAAAATAACTACCTGCGGAAAGAGTGATGGAGTAATTGCTGTTAGATGTGGAAAAATGATAGTCATTGGGTGCTACTTTTCCCCGAATCGGCAAATTCATGAATTCGAACGTTTTCTTAACAGACTAGGTGCAATTATTGAGGGTTTTCCTCCTCTCGAACCAATTATAATAGGAGGAGATTTTAATGCTCGCTCTACAACCTGGGGTGACCATCTAACGAACATACGTGGCAGATTAATGCTAGATTGGAAAAGACATCATAACCTGATCCTTATTAACAGAGGCAATGAGCCCACGTGTGTAAGAGCACAAGGTACATCGGTGATTGATCTAACTTGGGCCAACAAAACTGCCTCTCAATTTGTCACAAAGTGGAGAATTGAGGATGAACTTGAGTCTCTATCTGACCATAAATATATTAATTTTGAAATAAATCTGCCTAATACATGCCCAAAGAGAGCTAGATTTAACAACTATAGATATTTTCCCACCTGGAATGAAAAGAAATTAAATGAAACTAGAATGAAAGCATCAGCCATGGCACTATCATGGGGGAACTTCAATCAATCTTCCTTTAACTTAGACCATCAAGCTGAAAATCTGAGAGCTCGGCTGACTAGAATCTGTGACAGCGCTATGCCACGGAAAAAACCAAGTATAAAAAAGAAAACACCATGGTGGTCTACGGAAATCACTGTACAGCGCAATAAATGTCAAGCATTGCGACGACGAGTACAGAGAATTAGAAGAAGAAGAAACAGCAATGCAGAGGAATTAGATACCATAAAAAAACAATACAAAACTGCGAAAAGAATCTATAAAGATATGATTATAAAAGCTAAAGCAGATGGCTGGAAAGACGCGCTAAAATCTCTGGACGATGACCCGTGGGGACGCCCATTTAAATGGGCACTTGGCAAATTATCGTCGGGCGGCACTCCATTAACCGAATTAATGGATACATCCTTCCTCACTGTGGTCCTTGATAAACTCTTCCCGATGCGTGACCAATGGAAATTTGCCAGCCTGCAAACAACATGGGCATCAGAGTGCGAAGTCACAACAAATGAAATAGTTGCTGTACTCACGAAAATGCGTAAAAAGAGAGTATCGCCTGGCCCGGATGGGATATCAGGTAGATGCCTGAGTATGGTATCTGAAATCCTTCTTAGTACCCTGCGTGACATTTTCAATACATCGCTGAAACAAGGTTATTTCCCGACCATATGGAAAAACGCGAAACTTGTTTTACTTCCGAAACCTGATAAACCTCCGGATGAGCCATCATCTTATCGACCCATATGTCTCATAGATGAAATGAGTAAACTACTAGAGAGACTAATAGTCCTTAGGCTAGAAAAACACTTAAACACTACACGATCTGGCCTATCAGATAGACAGTTTGGATTTAGAAAAAATCGCTCGACTATTGATGCAATAAATAAAGTTAAGGAATATACGGAAAAATTTACTAACGAAGGAGAGTTGGCAATCGCAATTAGCGTAGATATATCCAACGCTTTTAATACGATCCCATGGGAATCAATAATTACGGCTATGAAAGAAATGTCTTTCCCCGAATACCTAATTAATATAATTGGTTCATATCTTAGTAATCGCACGATATCTTACATCGACTCTAAAGGTAGATATAGACGCAGAAACATTTGTTGTGGGGTCCCTCAGGGTTCCTCACTTGCTGCACCGCTTTGGAATATAGGCTATAACAAGATCTTACTAACACCACTACCAGATAAGTGCGAAATATTTGGGTATGCGGATGATACGTATATTATCGCCGGAGGAAAAAATCCAACCCGCGTGCTAAATAGAGCAACCATAGCAGCGGAGGCTGTATTACGTAGGATAGACAATATGGGACTAAAAGTTGCCACGCAAAAGACCGTAGTTTGCTGCTTCTATAATGGATCCCTTGTCAAAACGCCAAAACTAAATTATATAAGGATAGGACAAGATAATATTCCAATTAATAACGCAATAAAATATCTTGGCATTACACTAGATAGCAGATGGCAATTTTCTTGTCACATTGACAAACTTGTCAATCGACTAATGGGGACAGTCAACGCGCTGAGGGGTATATT